ATGTTAATAGAGATGAGCTGGTATTAAGTTGATTAATGCTTAACCGTGTGGGTGGTTTAGGTTCACGGTTCACACGGACGATTTGTTTCTGCTGAGACTCAATTTGTTCGAGTTACGTTGGTACTTTTTTCATCAAGGTTAATCTAGATGGATTTTCTGGAATTCCATTTTTAAAAATTATGTTGAGAAAGAGAAGCGATTGGCGCCAATTTGTTGTGACATATTTGGTAGCCATTTTTTTTTTAATTTTTACAATGCCATGTAAGAAATTTACCTTATAGCGATAGGTATATTATAATAGCGATGACAAAAGGACAGCGTAGTCGTATGCCGCTGATCATAACAAACCAAATTGTTGTGGTAAACTTTTAAGAGCTTGATTTCGCTGTAGTCGGGTTTTAGTTTTTGAACATACTTCTTAATTGAATTAATTTAAATGTGCTAATTAAGTTTTTTAATTTGATACCTACATGATACACGGAATGATTGAATAATATCAACTTTTTTAGTTTCTTACTTTATGCTCTCTAGAGGCCGCTGTTGACAATTTAATATAACGTCACATAGCCTACAGCACGCGACCAACTAAAATACTTCTTATGATACTTGTCGAAGTTATAAGGGAACATACATAAAGACAAACCGATCAAAATCATAACCCTCCTTTTTACTTCGCCGCCGTAGTCGGATAAAAATGAACTAACTGGCTTTATTAACACTGAAAATGTACCTCACTCATATTTTATGTATTACCATTATCATTACAGTTCCATAGAGTGAAACTGTTCATATTTCGATGTAAGTCGATCTCTTTTGTTATTTATGAAATGATCGATAAAATGTCGCATCAAAATAATCTGGTTCTACCTTTGTTTTATACTAGTTATTTTTTTACTAGGTCATACAATTTGCTCATTCTTTTTATTTTTAACGAACTATTTTCCAATAGTTTGACCCGTGTAATTATAACTTATGCAACCCGCGTATATTGTAGATTACCGTAAGTGAAAGAATCTCAATGATTAGAGCAGTATTTTCTAAGATTAACACCCTACAAAGAAACAATTGTATATATTTAACGCCTAAATTCCTCTCATGTTTCAATTTATCAAGTAGTTTATGTTTGACACTGACTTATGATTATATATGAGCAGTTCGGTGGTGTATAGGATAAGCGCTGTGGCCCGCAATCGTTATTATTAAGCAACTTTCCCAAGGGTCGGTCACCGGATGAATGATTAGAAAATTACTATCTTGAGCTACTCCATGTTTCGGAAGGCACGTTATGCTGTCAGTCACAGCTGCATTTGCAGTCTTTAATACACTTTTATCCGCATTATTTGGGAACAAATCAGCTGTAAAAGAAGGACGAACTAGCACATGAGTACTGCTATATGGGATATAATTTACGTTAAAAGGATGGAACCTTAAATTATACGGCACAAATTTAAAAGCAAGTGTATTATTGCAAATATTGAAAGAGCTAGAACTTTCTATGATACAAAAAATAAGAGTCATCGTAAGTAAATTTCGATTATCATTTCATAACGTGAAATGTTATTTGAAAGTTATTCGTCTGCCTTTAATAAGCTTAAATAAGCTTTAGATCTTTGTTAAACATAAAAAACGCCTTTTGTATACTCAATAAGGTATTATTTTCAACGAAACTTTCTGTTCTCATGGTATCGACAAAAAGTGTTCAAATATCTTTGACCCTAATTGGTCATGTGTGCCCTCTTTACTACCTACGAAATTGCAAGTCACCAGTGACTTTGGTTAGCGGTTTTTTGGCCGGTAGCCAGATCACTGTATGTTTTATCGTTATCGAACTCAATGTGGATAAGAAATTGTCTTCAATAAAATATATTTATGAAACTAAAAGTGCTTTGATATAATATACTTTATATTTGATAAATTTTGCGTAGGAGATTCTATATTGATTTCGTCAGTTGATTCACTAATTGAATTTCTAAAGCTCTCTTCTATCACGAACTTTCTGCTTTTTTCATTTATATTTTAGTTAATTTACATACACAGCTGAGAGAAATATAATACTATAACAAAAATGGTTTTATGTACGTTTAAAATTATACAGTACTAGCGATTGGAATTGTTGTTTTCACATATAGAATTAATATACATATATTAATATTGTAAAAATGAAATATTTGAAACTACTGGAATGATTATAAAAATTCTTCCACCTTCGGGAAGCTATATCATGCGTGGCATAGGTTGTACTCGGGTGAAGTTGTTGGAAAATAGCTAGAATATAATGATTATTTAAAAAAATAGAAATGTGTTGTAACAATTTTACGTACTTATTATATATACCTTTTAATATATTATATATACTTTATAATACCTTTGAGTTATTACCAATAAAGTTAGTGTTGGAGTGTACTTGACGAGGCAATGAGAAAAGCAGAAAATTTCTGATCACAGTTCTCGCGTTAACGTAACCATATGCTGTTTACTGTATTCTCCAAAACAGAAACGACGAATTCACGAAAAAAAAATTGATAGAAATTTTCTTCACCTTTTTCCCCGTTATGTACTAAAACAAAAATTTGAATCTACATCTTTTCTTTAAACAATAGATTTAAATGAAATTAGTATTCACTGTGCTATATATTTTTTAAATTGTACTATAAAGCTATTCATTTAAATTATAGTTACATTTAAATTTTAGTCTTTTTTTATCCATATTAAAAACAATGCTATTAATAAACATATTAAATCATATTAAACGTTTATCGTCAGAGTAAATTTACGCTAAAATTCCAATTTCAATATTAGTCCAAATTAATATTAAACAGAGAATAAGCAAACCTACTTCATGGAGTAAATGTTACTCCCGTTTCTACGGGACTAGATTAACTTTTGCTAAGTCTCTGTTTAATAATATTAATTTTGACTAATACTAAGTGCAGTCTCAGTAAATTTACTTCAACGCTAAACCTTCTTTAATAATAGGATCGAAAGAGTTTAATTAATATGAGAGACACAAAAGAGAAAAAGAAGTCGTTTGCTCTGTATGAATATTATGTTTTGGCGTAGATCTCAATGAGTAACTTATAATTTTTCATTTATTCCTTAATTTGAAATACGTATTAATGTTATCTTTCAGTTTATGTCGTATTATTTTTCGTACATTCAAATAAAGAAGTTTTGACACAACCTGAAAACTCTTACTGATCATTCTTATTCAGATAACAGTCTAAGGTAGCCATTAGGGAAATCACGACAGTTGCCTCAGTGACAAAAAAATATTTACATAAGAAAACATTAAAATAAGCCAAAAGTACGATCCGTATTATAATTTTTGTCATAATTATTTTTCTTTTAACTATTATTTATTATTTTACTCATCCCATAATAGAACTGCCAATAAAATAACTATAATGAAAATTACGTAAATTTGGCATTCGGTTATATGGTAAAAAAAAACTTTCTATTTTGTAGTAGTTCATTGATATGATTGAAAAAATCATATATTTTTTTATTTAACAACGTTATGTAATAATTGTAGTATGTTTAAATAACTATAAAAACCTTTGTATTTTATATTTTAAACGATTTTGATTCCTTTCCGGGCACTTAAATATCACACTGGGTTGTTATCTAGCAACCTTTATTAGATTTAAAGTAATATTGCTTCAAAACTAACTCATCTATAGACAAGTTATAAAAAGATGGAATGCAAATATACGCATCTGATTTGTGACTTACAAACTATCTAAGTTTACTAAGAGCATGGTACGTAACATCATTTTCATGTCCTAGCACTACGATATGTATGAAATATTAACTTTACCAATGACTCTAGTTAAAAAGCAGGTCAAGAAGTACTACATGTATGACCGATTGTGCTGGTTTTTTGTATAATTCTGTCTGTATCGCCATTATAGACATTGCTTTGAAATTGGCACCTAATATTATAATGTAGGTAAAGCATACTTCAAATATGTTGACTAATTCTTTAGATATAAATATTCGTTTTTCAATTACATTCGTCCACAATCACTGTAGAGAATGGAATTATGTAAAAGAAAATATTCATGCACAGTGACTGACAAAATCTAAACCAAAAGCATTGGAAAACGACACAGAAGACAATGAAATTGAAATTAATAAAAAAGTGGAAAAATATATGATAAATGAATGTACGCAAATTTGAAAAACTAACCCTTACCAATTGGACGCTCCTAATAAAAATATACACACTTAAATATATCACAATAGAAAAAGCGATCACAACACAGTACACACACCACACACGGGCATTAAAAAAATTTCAATGCGTATTTTTCTAAGGTTGAAAATGGGAAAGTCCGCACTTCCCTACCGCGGCACGAAACGCGACTGCCCGGGACTGCGCCCGGAGGAGATCGATCGTTATGCGCATGTACCTTGCGCCTCGCGTCACCTCAAATATCTTATGTATGAGAGCGGAATATGCCGGAGGAAAAGTGAAAAACTCTACGCGCCAGTGTTCCCGTAATGACGACGCGTAGCCAACGCGGCTCCCTCCACCATCCCCATTACCTTTATAGCTATTTGGTTAGTTAGCAGTAACACGATTAACGACTGTTGACTCTGCATCCGTAAGAGCTTTCTCAACCGTCGGAGACGATTGTAATGTCACTAAATATCAATAAGCTACTCGAGTATTATTCGCAATAAAATTGTCATAGTCTAGAAGTGTAATATTTATTTTATCACATACAGAATTGGGTCTTTTGTACGAGTTGTTCAATAATTTATAGCACAAGTTCACGTAGTAACCGTTACATTTTTACCTGTGTTACTTGGATTACTCCAATTCTGTTAAAACAGCCCGATTTAATTATTGATATCTTGTTTTATTATTCAAGTTGTAATATATGCTACAGTTCATGTTAACGTTGGTGTTATGTCTAGGAAATAGATGAAGAAAATGTGTTCGTGTGATTTCAGAATAAGGTAGAAATATTTGTAAATTTTCTATGAACACTCACCGATATTTCTTGTCTCTATGCCAAACAGAGATGTGAAGAACTTGATGATCATATACAACTGAAGGGACGGGTAACTTTAGATGCCTCTGGAATTCTGGCTCTCTTTTTCCATACAGCACGGAAGTTCGTTGGAATATCGACCTTTGAGTTGGGAGGGACTGATTTTCAGGTACTCCGCTGATGACAATCTGTCGATAATACATAGCATATATAATAAAACAACACTGTTTTAAGATTTTCTATTCCACAATAACACTTATTTGAAATGGCATTTAAAAAATACCTTAGTATAGGCGTTTACATCATCCATTTTTCCTGTGCATCGTTGCAAATCTCGACATCGTATAACTGAAAATAAATTACATGATATTATTAACTAATTACAAAATGTTGTTAATTTTTATTAAAAAAATAGTCGATAGTCACCACTCACCGTGCACGTCAATGACGTTATCCTGAGTTTTAATTTCTAAATCTATAGTACCCTTGAGAGCTTGAAATCGATCAGTACTTTGTTCTAAACGATTACTAACTATACTTCTTCTTTTTTCTTCACTACTATTAATACTACTCTCTTCTGGAGAGTATGTGAGGCATCTTCTTGATGATTTGTGTTCTATAATAGGTGTAACAATATCAGTTGATAGTAATTCTTCATCTAATTTACTAGTTTTATGAGCTCTTTCTTCACTCAAAACGTTACTTGATCTTTTTAAACTTGCCACCGGAGTTATAGGACTGGGTATACCATTTTCTAGAGTTAACCCAAAGAGTTCTCTTGATCTTTTATTGCGAATTAGTGGTTTATGAGGCATCAAACTACTGTGTGACACATTGGACTTCACAGAGATGTTGTCATATGCAATTTGTTCATAATCTGCTTCATATGTAAGACCGTCGTGACAATTTATTGAGTAATTTAAAGGTTCACATAAAGATGTATTTTGAAGTTCTAGCGCAGGGCTTGGAATACCCATTTCTAATGTTAAAATAGAATGCGAGACAGGTTCAGTGTCAATTATATTTCGTCGTCTTTGACTTTCATTGCTGACAGTAGACTTTTTTCTACGTATACATCTTTGCCTTCTCAACGCAACGTTACTACTTTCTTTAGAACTACAACTGTACAAATCTGGTGTTGATTCTGAAGACATATATCCTAAATTACTTTTTTCACTATTTGAATAATTCATAGAATAAGATCTATTTAACGATTTCTTACGTTTTTCTTTTGGTTTAGTTTTTGAAACAATGTCAATATCTGGCGTTCGCACCTCTCTCTCATTGTAGCCATCACCGTCGTCTAAAATAAAACAGCCAATGGGAAGATTTTTTAGTAACTTGTCATTTACTTTATGAATTGGCATATTCTTTTTTGTTGGGGTACTTTTTGGTGATATTGAACTTTCTCTTGATAAATTAACGTATCTTGCTTCTTTTATGAGATTAGCTTTATTTTCTGCTTGAGGTTTGACAAACAAATCCTTTACAGCTTCTAGAGGTGGTATTTCATCTTCCACAGGAGGTAAATCATCATAATTTTTGTTTAAAATCCTACGTTTAGTTTTTACTATTTTTGTGCTTTTTATTATATCTTCAATCATTTTCTCAAGAGTAATGTCACCCATTTGTGTTGTTGACACTGTTGATTCCGTTTCATTAGTCAAGGAATCTTTTCCTAATATAAATTTATTTTCCATCTCAGTAGACGTTTCTTCGTCTCTCAAAGGTATAGTAAATGGATATTCTATATCTGGGAAGTAATCTGTAATGTCGTTAGTAAATATTTGTCTTTTTGATTTGCTATGAGTGCTTAAAGTACTAAATCGCAATGCAGCTAATTTAATAGATATAGGAGTGACAGAGACAGGAGAACAGCCGTCTCGTACTAAAGCATGAGTATCTCTTTTATCGACTGAAGGAGACTTAAAAGAGGTTTCGAATTCATTTGATTTTTTCCTAGTTCTTTTTAATGGTCTAATACTACTCATGCCAATATTACGTCTGTTGAAATAAAGAGGGTCGTCCAAAAATATGTGATGCCCAAATATGGGTAAAGTATTTTTTTCCGGCTGATCATTATCAAGAGGGAGTGGTTTTTCTATACAATTTATTACAAGATCTTTATCATATTCTATTTCTACTAGTCCCTCACTTGAAGTTTTAGTGGTACTAGTAGGATTACTAGTTAACATTTTACTTAACATTAAATATTGTCTGCTAGTATCCGTTGTAACACTTAGCCTATCTGAAAGATCATTAAGTGAAGGTTCAGATGTGCTATGACTTAATCTAGGTGAATTAAACTCATTTTTATTTACAGGTTTAATACGTCTTTCTGATTTATAAACATAGCTATCTCTTCTAAAGTGATCGTTATTAGCACTAGTCATTTCTAGTTTCCTTTTCTTAGCCTCTCTCACTCGTCTGCTATAAGTAGGCGTAGGAGGTATATTATCCTTGGAAACATTTAGGTAATATTTTCTTCGATCATATGTTTTGATTGGAGTTGTCGATGAAGGTGTAATGTTACTAACATCTTTAAGTGCTAAACCTTCAGTTTTTTTTATAAAGCCTTCTTTATAATAATTTGGTGTATTACCGATGTAATTGAAATTTTCTTTGTCAACAGTTTTTAGATTATTTTTTCTTACTGCGTTTGACCCTAAAGATCTCCTCTGGTATCTACTAGGCTTTTTACTTTTCTTGACTGACTGTGCGTCTAAAGATCTTCTTACATGATTACTAAAGAGTTCATTGGTATATACTGCATGGTTTTCACTTTTCGCTTCATCAGCTGGCTGAACCTCTTGGTTCTTTTTACCATACACTGTCCATTTCAGCATTTTGGTTCTGGAACAAGAAAAATCTTTTTTAATGAAGATATAATGGAATGTGAAACATTACGGTTAACATACTACTATGAATTATGAAAGTAAAATAGCTTCAAATATGTATTATATTGAGAGCAGCTCGTATTCAATTGTCAATTGTTTTTAATATAAAATTGATAAATATAAATATTTAATAGTAATTGTTTACACGAATATATGTATGAGTATGAGGTTGAAAAATATCGTATGAAAATGACATTCGTATTGAGCATTGTAATCTTTTTGGCATTGATATTACCATTACAAAAATTTACTTTTGTGTTAAATATGAATTCGATTCGCATTCTATAATTTTTCGTGCCAGTGTACGGATTTTGCTAAAGCGTATATTGTATTCGATATAACGGCAGAAATCGTGATTTTCATTTATAACTTGGTCATGCTCATCGTAAACTCATAATATGGACATTACAATTTACCGTTATTAACAATATATTACTCTTTATAAATAAAAATATACCGAATATTATCCAATGTACAAATAATAACTTAATTTTGATTTGTTCATCCTCAAATCAGTTTGTGAGTTTCTGTGTTCTGTCTGATCTATTATTTTATATGTCGATCTTATATACGATACTTTTCATAAAAATCAAATCCCTCGGGTAATTTAGCATTAGTTTCTGTCTTTTTTTCTTCTTTTAAATTAATGGTGTTGCCCTTGTGGATTTCGCCAGAATCCAGTGTTTCGCTCAGTTTATTTCATATTTTAGTATTTTATATTCATATTTTATTATTTTATAAACTGCTTTTTGTATGTTAGTAGTCAAAGTCCAAGTTAAATTTAGAATTTTGTTGGAATTAAATTTTACCTACCTGATTTTTTTTTCTGTCTATGTGGAATATTACAAGTCATATATTATGATTTGATGATATTTTAGAACTAATAGATTTTGCTATAGCGTTCTTATTCAATGTTTGTAAAATATATAAATGAAAAACATAAAACTTTCAATGAATTATGTACAATTTTATTCAAAATATCAAATTTATCATCAGTGTCATCTATTGATACTCAAAAATAACGTATTTATTATACTCTTATATCTTAAAATATAATTTTATGAGTGAATTTTGTTATTACAATTATTATAAAGAGGTAAGTTTGATTATTTGTGTGTTTGCATTAAATAAGTTACTCTCTAGTACATAATAGGAAACTACTGGTCCGTTACTTCAATAACTCTTTAATTTATGGGAAGCTACATAATATGCCGGTGAAATAGGCTATAATTTGCACGGGCTAAGTCTCGGAAAAACAGTTACTATGCATTAAAAACGAATAATTTTAGCAAGACATTAGGTTAAATTATTGTCCAGGATAATAATATATCCATTTTTAAATGTTTTCGAAGTAAAACAGTTAAACCAAACAAAATTCGAAGGTTTTCGTGACATGCTCAAAAACCCTCGAATAGTAAGGTATCGTAAAATTTTATTGTTCATTTACTTATACTTGAGAAAGCTGCACTATACTGTTATTTTCAATATTTAGTCAACATATACCGTTTACTTTGTATCACTTCACGTAAGTAATTTGTGCTAGTAGGCTTGTGGTAGTATCGCACCAGCCGGCGAACCAATTAAAGCTGGGTGCTTAATAGCAAACGCTCGAGGCATACTAAGGTTATTTTTGAGGTACACAGCTACACATAGAGTCGGACAAGAGACTATCTGAAATATTATATCAAATATTTAATGTAATTGTTATAAATGGTAATTATTATTTCGATCATCGAAGTGATACTAAAAGCCTGTCTAAAAGATAAAAGACACTTATAGAAATTAAATTAAAAAATAATCACAGTTTTACTATTATAGGGTCTCAAGATTAAGTTATTGTAAATTTGGTAATTATTGAACAAAAATTCTGATGGTACCTACTTAATAAATAAAGTAAATCACTAATATTTGTCACTTGTTAGGTGTAAAAGTTACTAACAGTTAACTATCTTGTCGCCTAAATGATTGTAATAATAAACTTGCATTGTCGAAAAATATTTTTTTTTGTCAGCAATTTTAATAATGTTATTGAAATGTTATAATTTTATTAAAAATTATACATATCAAGTTAGCATACCACGTTAATGAAGTCAATGACGTGTCCCGATATGATCTACCGCTGTGGACTCGACCTTCTTTAGTGTACACCCAGCTTTAACAAACTATTTCAAGATGTTTCTATTTGTATAACTTTCTTAAAAGTGATGCCACATTTTGCTCTTTTTCTTTGTCATTCTACTTTTGTTACAATATTTGTAATAAAAGTTCGGGTATTAGAACAAAAAAAAGACAATTTTGTATTGAATAGTGTTTAATATAAACTTATAATTTCTAATACCTTTTTTTTGAGTCTCTCAAAATTTATATTGATATTATAAAGAAGAAAGTTTGTTTGTTTGAATCTTATAGGCTTCGAAGCTAATGGCATGATTTTAAAAATTCTTTCACCTACGGGAAGCAACATCATGCGCGGCTGACATGGGTTATAATTTACGCGGAAAAAGTCGCGGGGAAACATGTCTCAAACAAGTCCGACGATTCTTCTTGGCTATGCGGAAAAATAGCTAAAGACTTACATCTTCCCGCGCCGTGACATATGAATACATAGAAAAATGACGGAGCCGGAGACCATCTTTAATTTATAATGGTGCCAATTCTATCGTAGAACTATTAAATTAAATTAAACATTTTCATGTCGTTACGTAGTAAAATAAACAACTTTTTTATGTTAATTATTTTCAGAATACGCCCATTCACAGTATTTAAATTAAATAAGTATAGTTTGTGCAACATAATTGCTGCCAATATCTTGGTGATAGAAACAAATTTTAGAATTTATAATTGAATTAGCCTTTAATGAACCCCATCTACCAAAGTTGTCATTCAAATTGAAATGAATTTGAAAATGAAAACGTCACACTGATTTCATTATTCCGCCAATCAAGTTAACTAATCGCTTTCTAACATAATCATGAAAGCATTATTATGCTAAGTTCCGAAAATTCTATTAAAAAGCTTTGTTGACATTCAAAACGGCCGATTTCATCTCGGTTACGGCTGTAGGCAATAAATTCACGTAT